ACTGTTACGGTTTAATGTAGTTGAAGATAGTTAGTATTAAAAAATTTATATATATATATATATATATATATATATATATATATATATATATATATATATATATTTATTTTTATATATATATATATACAGTATAGGTAAAATTTTAAGGTCGGTATGGTAAAATTTAACAGGATATCTAACGCAGATATAAAATCATATTTTCAGCGAATTAGACAAAGATAACAATCATATTTCCCCTTCGTCTCCCCTCCTAAAATTCTTTTAACACTCATTGGCCATTTCCCATTAGTGAGACGATTAGTTCCGATCAGATATTCTCTGGTTCCGATCCTAATATACCTAAAAAACTAGAGGTGGGTCCTCTCGTTTTTTTAATTTTTATCGGAACCGTTTTTCGTAAACTGTAACTAGTTGATTGTTTACCAGTATTCAAATTAGCGAGTACACAAACATATCGATACATTTTTGGCAAAGTAACGTAAGTCACCAAAAACGATTTGTAGAAAAAACAATTTTTTAATTCAACCTGCTTAAACTTATTTAAATTATGACTGAAAAAACTTGTCCTAAAAAAGGTTTAAAGTAAATCTAGGCTTACTACACTCTTTCAGTACCTTTTTAACAGTAATAGCATTAGTTTAATTGAAAAACATTATTTTCGCCAAAAATGTCACTTATGTTACTTTGCCAAAAATGTATCGATATTGGCTATTATCGTTTATGTGTATAAGTATTGAAATAAAGGAACCTAACGAAGGATATATTTATTGTAACTTGAAAAATAAATTAAATAATACAAATGGTACTTAAATACTTACATTTACATTACACATTATTAAATCGCGAATCGTCTAAATTGACATTTAAAAACATAAGTTTTTCCACTTTTCTTGTTAGTCGCGTTCTTCTTTTATTTAAAATTATACCAGATGTTAAACATGTGTTCACAAGGAAAAGATTTTGTTACAATACTACAACATTTTATGAATATAGTGGTTAAGTTATGATATACATGGCGATGGTTTTTTCACCACGGTAATGGACAGTTCCAATCTCCGTTCGAAATTGTTTGTGGGTAATATATCATCAGACAATTACATGTCGACTTCTTTTATACCTCTCGATACAGGTGTATGTTTAGATGAGTCATGTCCAATTAATTCATCAAAAATACACCATGGACTTAAGTCATTTTTATCAGTTTCTTTTTCTTGGACTGATTGATTTTCAAGATTTACTAAACTTTTCGTTTCATCCGTTTTCCATAGTTAAAGAACCAGCTTTTAAAAAGTTTGCAGGGTGGATTCCTGGATATAAACCGCCAACAAGAAAAACTTTGTCAGGTTCATTACTTCAGGAATGTTATGTCAAAAGTGAGCAAATTATTAGATCACAAATTGTTAAAGAAGTAGAAAATATCTGTATTACTACTGACCTCTGGACATCTGGAGTAACTGAGAGTTACTTCGCATTAACAGGACAATATTTAACCGAAAATTTAGTATTCAAAACTTTTTTATTAGGCTGCTGCCATTTTTCTGGAAACCATAATCCAGAAAACAGCGATTACTGAAATTATTAATCAGTGGGGTCTAAAACGAAAAGTAAATTTTGCAGTAACTGATAATTCCTCAAATATGGTCAAAGCTATTAAATATGTTTTGTTTTATGATGATTGTGATTTATGATGATGATTAAATTTATTGGTGGGGGACGCACTTAAATGCTGTCGTGTACAAATAGATAAAATAAAAAGTCCTTTTTTCGACAATTCTGCAAAAAAACACATTTCAAAAAAGTACCGTATCTTTAGAAAGGCTTTTAAAGTATTAATTACAACAGAACACAGTTCCCAAACGGCCAATCCAAGACGTGGAAACTAGGTAGAACTTCACCTATTACATGTTAAAAAGAATGACCGAGTTAGAAGAGGCAACCCGTTCCACATTGGTATTAAATAATACAGACTTAGACTTAAACCTAATCTAAAGAAAGAACACTGGATTATTTGTTCTCAACTTTCCCAAATTTTACGGCCGTTTAAAGAAATAACAAGTACAATGAGTGACCAAAAATGCTTGAATGCTAGTTCAGTGATTGTTGTGGTACGCTGCCTGCAAGAATCTTGCAATAAAATTTTAGCAAACGGCATACTTACATCCATAGTATCCGACATAGTACAATTACTAATATCGGGTTTAGCAAAAAGATTTAGAGGGACAGAACAGAGTGGCACATTGTCATTATGTACATTTATGGATTCACGATTTAAAGTGCAGAACAAAACAAAAAGTTAAGAAGCTGGTTACTTCTATAATTAACGAACAAGAAGATTGTACTATTGAAAATCAACCAGTACAAGAAAAAGAAACCAATAAATATGACTTAAGTCCATGGTGTATTTTTGATCAATTAATTGGAGATGACTCATCTACACGTACACCTGCATCGAGAGTCCATTACAAGAAAAACTTATGTTTTTATGTCAATTTAGACTATTCGCGATTTAATAATAACGTGTAATGTAAATGCAAGTCCGATTTACTATTTGTATTGTTTAGTTTATTTTTCAAGTTATAATAAATATATCATTAGGTAGTTTCTTTCACTTCAAAAGATATACACATAAACGATAATAGCCGTTATGTTTGTTTATGTAGGTACTCTCTTACTTGAAACTACTTTTAAACAATCATAGTTACTTGTTTATGAAAATTAAAATTTTTAAATGCTTTTTAGCATTTAAAAATGCTTAAATGCTTTTTAGCATTTAAAAAAATTTAAATTTTTTTGGAATCCTGAGAAAACTAACAAATATTTTTGAAAAATTTAAATGCAGAATGGAAGATTACATTATTACCGAGGGCCGAAAGTCCCTTAGAATAAACAAAAAGTTTTTTTAATGAGATATTTGAAATTAAAAATCACACTAAATTTTGTTTTTTTTTTTCATCCCTATAACTTATTAAAATAAACATTATCTCGGCTCTCGGTAATAATGTATTGTTTCATTCTGCGTTTAAATTTTTCAAAAATATTTATTAGTTTTCTCAGGATTCGAAAAAAATGAATGCTTTTAAAAAACATTGGCACGAAATTTTGCTTCTACGCTCTTAACGATAAACTAGTACGACCCACCTCTACTTCTCGTTACTCGATCTTTTGACCAGAAGACTATCTAGACTAGACGTTGCCAAAGAATTAGTGTATGAATATTTTTTAATGTGGCGTTATTGTATGCATGTTTAATTGTTTATTATTTCATATTGGGAAATTATTTTGATGTTTAGATTTTTAGTTCGGAAATCGTACTTAAAATACGAAACATTAATAAATTTTATTTATATAAAACGATTTCCGAAATGGAAATCAAAATGTTATATTACAATTATTGTAAAGAAAACTTGTGGCATATTCCCAATAAAAAAAACAGTAACCTGCCATTTAAATCAATTTCGCCCAAATTTGATTATCTTGAGCATTTTATCTTCTTGATAGAACATTGTTCAAATGCAAAAAAGACAACAGGTCAAATAAAACCGATAAGTTTGGCAACGTTGAAATTCCCCTTTTTTGTTATTTCTAGGCATGAAGGTTCGGCCACAGAGTTCGGCGATTTAAAGGGCGTACCTAATATACCTCTCTCTTTTTAAACAGCTGTTTCTCACTCCATCTCACGTAAGGTCCATACCGACCATAAAATTTTTCCTACACTGTATATATATTTATATATATTTTATATATATATATATATTTATATATATATATATATATATATATATATATATATATATATATATATATATATATATATATATTTAAAAAATTGCAGGGTGATGCATTTGAAAAACCAAAGTTACTAATAATATAAAAGAAACGGCAAATCTGGCAACACTGAAAATAACAAACATGGAATCTCCGTATTCCAAAATAGGTGTATCTCAAATTTTGTACAATTATGACTAGCAGTTTACGAGATAATTGGCCGTTTCCAGACTTTTGGGCCACTTTGTATAAATATTATATTCATTTAATTTGCTTTTAACGGAATAAAATTAAATATTCTTACAGAACATAAAATATATGAAATTTTGACTTTTAAAGTGATTGAAATTAAATTTTAAAAATTGTTTGATGCCCATTGATCATTGCCTAATTACTAACCTTTCTTCTTTCATGGCTTTTACTTTACCTGTCAAAACACACATAATAATAATTATATCGGGCTTAGATTTAATTTTTAGGTATTTACGTTTGTATTTAAATAAATAAATGAAATCTTATTTTGGTAGGCCTCTGCACAGTTGATAAGGAAAATATTCTTTCGTCGCTTTAAATGTAATGTTGCCAAATAATCACCTTCAAATAAAAATTGTTATGAGTAGACATTTTTATTAATGGGAACAATTTTGACATGTCCACAAATAGCTTTAAGCTTTTAATACAATGTGAATATAATTTTTTTTAAAATAAATTAAAAAGTCTGAAGTAATCGTTAATTTCCGATTATTTTAAAAAATAAAAATTTTACTATACAGTGTGCCAAAAAAGTATGCTGCTATTCTTAAATTGTTGTTATTGTGTTCATTTATGTTTCTGATAAATAAAAATTACAATTAATTAAAATTATATTTAGTATGTAAATAAATAATATGGCATGTAGATCAGTTGGTTTAATTTTTCTTTGTTCTCTCTTAAATGAACACTCCTCTTTAGCGACTCCTCTTTTGATTTTCGATAGTAGTCGCTATTGAAAGGTTGTACTGTATTTTTACTTTTTTGTTTTTTTTTTGCAGATTACAGTATATTTCAGTAAAAATTATTTTTCGAATATGTACAAAAATTTTTGGTTAAATGTTTTCTTGAAGGAATATGCTAATATTCTTAGAAAGTAATAAGTAGTATTAAAATTTACGTACTTTTAATTTACTGTATTATCAGCTACACAATTTTTGAATAACATTCTTAAAATCTAGTAATGATAAACCATTATGCCATACCTTAATTTCAAACAATGCAGCCCAAGAATAGTTGAAAACTAGTCACCGGAAAATATATTTCAGTAACGCACCTACCACTTGCACTATCTATACAATCTACTTAATTCGTATTTAGAGACTAGTGCATGCATTTTGCCGTAATCCTAACCAGAAAAGATTCAATCATCGTCCTTGATCCTTCAAGATCACTTTCTCTCATTCTATCGTTTACCGTTAAACCGTTAGAATGCGATTAGCGGTACATTTATGCAATACTGTTTATGATTGTTTATAATGAAAATATAACGTTTATGCAAAATAAAAGTACTGTTAGGAATGTATTAAAACGTAGGTCATTGCAAAAAGTGAAACATACATGTAAATACTGACGTCAAAATCTCAACCGGCGAAATTAGCTATAATCTTAGTAGAAGAGATTTAAAAGCAGAATACAATATTCCACTAGAATTTAACAATGTCTGCTTTATTTTAAATGTTTTCAATATTTTGTTATTTTAGAGTGCTGAAGAAGACAGGGATTGACGAAAAAGACTTAAAAATAATAGCTAACCTGTATTGGAATCAATCAGCGGTACACCGAATATATGGAGAATATACAGATCAGATCAAAATCTTAAGGGGAGTGAGACAAGGATGCATAATTTCACCACTGATATTCAATCTGTTCTCGGAGCACATTTTTAAAGAGGCTCTAAAAACATTGATGAAGGCATCTCAATAAATGGAGTCAAGCTCAATAACCTGCAGTATGCAGATGGTACAATAAAGTTTTCCAATACCAAGAAGGAAACAAACGGAATAAAAAATAGAGAGGGAATAGTGATAATAGAGGACCAAGAATACAAGCAAGTATGGAGAGATTACTACAGAGAGCTCTTGACGGAGGAAACAACAGAAGAAGAAATGCATAAAGGGGAGGAAACGGCGCACGAAGAAGAAGCAGATGAAGTAGACATCGAAATTTCAAAAGAACCAACATTAGAGGAATTGGATGAAGTAATACAGAGAAGCAAAAATGGAAAAGCCCCTGGTAACGGTGGAATTAATATGGAACTAATAAAATACGGGGGAAGGGAACTAAGAGGAAAAATACTGGAATATTAAAAATTGAAAAATATTGAAAAATATATGGAAAGAAGAGAAAATGCCGGGGGACTGGGAAGTAGGCCAGATCATAACAGTATATAAAAAGAGAGACCAACAAATCTGTGAAAATTATAGAGGAATAACGTTACTAAATACAACATATAAAATATTGACATCAATAATAAAAAAGAAGTTATCAAAGATCACAAAAAAGACAGTAGGACAGTACCAATGTGGATTCACAGAAGGAAGATCTACAATAGATTCAATACACACAATAAAACAAATAATGGAAAAAGCAAACGAGTATAAATTAGAATTGGAAATTTTATTCATAGACTTCAAACAGGCATATGATTCAATTAAAAGAAACGGATTAATGATAGCACTTAAAAAATTTAAAATTCCACATAAACTCAGAAAATTAATAGAAATGACAATAATAACTACAAAAATAAGCATAAAGACACAAAGGGGGGAGACAGAGGAATTCAGTATAAATAAAGGGATGAAACAAGGAGATGCCTTATCAACAACGCTATTTAATCTAGCATTAGAATATGTACTGCGAAATATAAATAAAGGAAATCTCAGAACAAGAGGTGGTCAAATAATTGCATATGCAGACGATATTGCTATTATTGCAAAGAACAGAAAGATAACGAAAGAAATGCTTAAAAAGATAAGAGAGAAAGTTGAGGTAATGGGGCTAAGATTAAATCAACAAAAGACAAAAATATTAAGATTAGGGAAAAAACAAATGAAAGAAAAAATCAAAATAGGAAGTCTGAGTTTGAAGAAGTAGAATACTTCAAATACCTTGGAGTTACAAAAAGTAAAACCGGAGAAAGGAAATCCGAAATAAAAGAAAAAATATTAGCAGCGAATAAAGCTTATTTTGCAAACAAAAGATTACTTAAAAGCAAAACACTGACTAAAAAAAGTAAGATGAGCATTTATAACACCATAATTAGACCAATATTATCATATGCAGGAAAAACAATGACGAGGGTTAAAAAAGATGAAGAAGACTTAAGAATAGCAGAGAGAAAGATTATGAGAACCATACTAGAACCAATCAGAACAGAGCAAAATGAATATAGAAGCAGAACAAATGTAAAAATTAAAGAAGAACTTAAGGAAGGCATCGTAACTAAAATAAAGCAATGCAGAGTTAGATGGTTAGGTCACATTTGGCGAGCAGGCGATGAGGCAGTGACATACGCAATGATAGAATGGAATCCAGGAGGAAGAAAGAGAAGGGGAAGATTGAGATCAAAGTGACTGCAAGAAGTTGAAGAAGACCTCCAAAGGGCAGGAGTCAGAGAATGGAGAGGAAGAACTAGAGACAGGAAAAAATGGAGAGATATTGTCAAGAAGATAACATAAACAAAAAAGACTGATCCCCTTAAGAAATAGGATCTAGAAAGCATTTGCGGTTTAACCCCACACTGGGGTGTATAGCCATTATATATATATATATATATATATATATATATATATATATATATATATATATATATATATATATATAATACACCAAGAAGGGCTGCAAAACTGAATGAACAAAATAACGGAAATAAGTAGAAAATATGGATTGTAAGGAAAACATAACTGGAGCAAATCTGTATGTGAACCAAATGAGAATTAAACGTGTCTCACAATACAACTACTTGGGAACTATATTCAATGAGTCGTGGGACAATACCCAAGAGATTAAATTAAATGAAAAAAAGTGCATTCTTGACTGTGAGTTCTGTGTTCAAGGGCCATGACCTCACCATAGAAACAAAACTTAGGCTCCTTAAATGTTATATATACTCAGTGCTTCTATACGGAGTAGAAACGTGGACATTGAAGGCGAAAACTCTATTAAAACTTCAGGCTTTTGAGCTACGGTCATACAGAAGGATCCTGAAGATACCATCGATAGACAAAGTCACCCACGAAGAAGTACTGCGGAGAATGAACACAAATGCGGATTTGGTCAACATCGTGAAGGGCAGTAAGCTGCAGTACTTGGGGCATATAATGAAAAATCAAAGCAGATACGAGCTACTTTAATGCATTTTGTAAGGTAAAATTAAAAGGAAAAGGGCCCCGGGACAAAGAAGAATATCCTGGCTTGCTCACCTGAGAGCATGGTATAGAAAGACCTCAACACAGCTATTTAGTATAGCAAATAACAAAGTCATCATAGCCAGAATGATCGCCAACGTTAGGAATGGACAGGCACCCTAAGAAGAAGAAGTTCTTTTAGATACTACTTTATTTATTTATTAGATAACTATTTTTGTGATCAGTCCAACAGCTGAGACATCAACAGATAGCAACAAATAAGCTTATGGATTGTAACGTTTATTTCGTTGAACGAAAATCGTTGAACTTATGGTTCAATTTATATACACTGTTTATTTACAAATTTATTTACTTGTGGAGTTGCCTCATAAAAAATATATTTACATGCTAATCCTAAAACTAAAAGCATGCTGAGTTATTATGTGTACCAAAATATTTGGGTACTGAAGATATCGCCAAATCATGCAATTTTAGCTGAAGTACCCGTTACCTATCCGAGGACAAATTTCGAAAAAAAAAAGGTTAATAAAATACAGAACATAATGCATTTTTAATTAACAAAGGAGCAAAGATTCACTGGACCAACCTAATCAAATCAATTTTTACCGAATCACTCTTTAAATACCAGCAAAAAATCGGCGCCAGGAATATTCCTGTTAGTTTCTTAAATAATCTAGCAGATAATGGAAAAAAATATCTTCTTAACCTATACAGCAGAATTATGATATATAATGAGTTTTCCACAAAATGGACGCAAGCGATAATAATTCTATTACTAAAACTAAATAAATCACGAACTGATCCTAATGCCTATAGGCCTATTTCTCTTACCAATACAATGTGCAAAATCTTAGAAAAAATGGTGAATTCTAGACTAAGATGGTTTTTAGAAAATAATAAATTGATTATCATTAATAATTTAATAGACCTGGAGTACGAAATACATTAATCATTTGCAATTAGACAGGAACGTGTTGCTGTCTTTTTCGATATATCAAAATCGTTTGATATGGCTTTGAGATACGACATTCTTATCACACTTAGTCATTGGGATATCAAACGTAACATGCAATATTTTATTTATAATTTTCTTAATGAGAGACAATTTAAAGTTAGGATAAATGGTACAATATCCAGCACTAAGGATCAAACAAATGGAAGACCTCAAGGATCCGTTATTAGTTCAACACTATTTTTAGTAGCGATAAACAAGATCTTAGAAAACTTTCCAAAACTTGTTAAGGCAAAATTATATGGTGATGATTTGGTTATATATTCAAGAAAAAAAATAATTCTTTCTATACAGAAAAACATACAATGCTAGTCAATGTCAAAAGCTAGGTATTGCAATTTTCTACAACCAAAACCAAATGTACCAAAACTTTTATTTTCAAATTAAACAATCTTGTCAATCTGGTCTCAATTTAATATGAACACTGTGCAATCATAATTGGGACCTAGATTTTAAAAGTATAATTCATGTTAAATCACTAGTACCATCAAAACTCGATTATGGATCAGTTGTATACTTATTAACAGAGAAGACTCTTCTTTCTCAACTAGAAGTCACACAAAATACAGCACTAAAATAGCTAAAGGAGCACTTTGTACTAGCCCAATTAAGAGTCTACAATGTTTAACCGGGAAATCACCTTTAAATTTTAGAAGAATGTACTTATCATTAACATACGTATGATCCATATGTGCGATATAATCGTATCTCACTTTCCATCATACGATCGCTGAACGTTTCAAAGAAAATAATATAAATAAAAAAATATTCAATTATATTGAATACTCCATAATATTCAATTCCCAAAATTTTTTGATAAGACAAACACAGTCATACCTCCCTCCTTAATCTTTCTTACTGCAATACGTGATCTAATTCTTTCTAAATACAATAAATTTGAGACCCCCAAGCAACAATTATTCAATCATTTTACAATATACTT